CTTGACAATTTTTTTTTGTCCAGTCGTGTCCGACTCTAAGGGGCGGTGCTCATCCCGCTCTTCAAGCCATAGAGCCAGCGTTTGTCCGAAGACAATCTTTCCGTGGTCACATGGCCAGTGTGATTTAGACACGGAACGCTGTTTACCTTCCCACTGAGATGGTACCTATTTATCTACTCGCATTTGCATGCTTTCGAACCGCTAGGTTGGCGGGAGCTGGGACAAGCAACGGGCGCTCACTCCGTCGCGTGGATTCGATCTTACGACTGCTTGGTCTTCTGACCCTGCAGCACAGGCTTCTGCGGTTTAGCCCACAGCGCCAAAATTCATTTAGTTCTTAATTTTTTAAACACTATTCCTTAACAACAAGAAAAATCCTCAGGATTCTTGTGCAGTTTCAACTTAGGCATACCTTCTAAAAGATACAAGAGAAAAGGAACAGTTCTCAGACACAGCCAGATATTGGCAACTTCCCACTTTGCCTATGTCATACTTCTAACATTCATTTTCCAGTTCCAAGTTCCATACTATTGAAGCCTTCCAAAAATGGGCAAGTCATAAACTCCAAACTCTTATATACAATACTCTTTTATACTCTCCAAATTCCAAAACTAGTGTTCTGTTAATTTCATTAACTTGAAGGGAATTTAAGGTCAGGGGAATATGTCAGCCCATTTATCTATCCAAGGACATCCATCCACCTTCAGATATTGACAATAGGTTCAACAAAATTATGTGAAGTGTCAAAAATGTTTAAACACCTTAGAAAGACCAATTATCAGAAGCTTGAAAGCCATATATTAACAATAATTGAGAAGGAACTCCTCATCCAATCCTCAGGAAGGAAATTCATCCAGGATGGATGAGTGGGGAGGATGGAGAGTAGAATTATTATGAGGAGCTAGTTGCTAAGTTGCTCACTGATCCTGTCTTCTCCACCCCTCCCATCAAGTGACTCTCATGTCCTCCTTAAAAGTGCCATGATGAGTGCAGAAGACTAAATTATCAGGTGAATATTACACAATGATCTGGTGTTCAAATGTAGCGCTAATGTTTAAACACCCCCCCAAGCCTCTGTTTTAACAACCTTTTTAAAACCTTTTTAATTACTATTCAATGGATTCTCATTTTGCTGATAAGCAAAATTTAGCAAGAAATAAAAACCAAGGACTGACAGTTGACATTTCCTTAGGAACTATGATTTTCATATGCTGGCCAGCTACTTCTGCTGCGATTTCTTCCCTTTCTGTCACTTCCTGAAAGTATGACCATTTTTTTTCACTGCAGTATTTTACTTTATGAAGTTCATAATGGGATGATACAAATTCTGTCCTCAATCTTTTCTAGTTAATATTTGCTTGACAAACCTAAGTTGTCTTGCAGAAATTCTGCTACTGCAAATCAACCTACATTTAACATTTCTTAAGTCCCATGTTGTTAACCAGTACTGTAGTAGCTTTTTGGAAAAGAGAAAGTACTAAATTTCCATGATGTCCACTATCACCACCCCCTTCCTCTACTGTAGAGCAGTGGAAGGGCAGAGTACAGTTTAGTATAATTGTATTGCAAATGCATATTTAATTGGAACAATGACATTATTACTTGATAATACTTTTCTAGACAATAGGTATTTGTAGATATAAAATGGAATAAAACAGCTAACAGGGAGATAACATTCCTTTCTAGCTTATGGTACCATACCAAATAATTTTGTAATTTTAGAATGTTATGACTCAAAAAAAAAGTATCTTTGTTTGTCATAGCTTTGTGAACAGAAATGTGAGCCACACGGGGAAATTCACAGAGAGTGAATTGGTGCAATATACCAAAAGTAAGCACAGGAGAAAAGCCCATCAGTTGAAAAAGAGAGGGCAGAGTAAATGCATTCAAAATCAGCTAAAAGCAATATGGAACAAATGCCTTGAATGGCCTGCCTGAAACTCAAAATGAGTAACTTTCTCAGGGAGACTGTTTTGTAACTGGAATGCCACCACAAAGAAGGCTCGGTTTTGTGATCCATTCAACCAGCTTCATAAGCATATATGGAGAATATTTACAAATAGGAATTAAGACATCTCACCCAAACGTTGAGTGACATGAGCCTGTTAAATGATTATTTCTTTCACTGAAAATAACCAAGGTAATAAATCTGGAGTCTCTATCAATTTCACAGACTGACACTCTTCCTTTTCTCACACAATTCTTAACATATGCTAACTCTAGATAAATTTTAAACATGAACCTCTAGTGTTAACATATTAGTCCCTAATACAGGGCTTCCCCCAGAAGATTATGAATTTCATTACTCTATGCATCTGTTCAACTATTACATGTGTTAAGTATCTCATTTCGTCCACACAGCCGCTAAAATGTTAATTACCGCACTCAAATGTGAGTGCATGCATTAGTAAATAACTGTGCTTGGGAGATGGTTTTTATTTGTTATAACTGAATACTATGGTTGCTGTCAAAAAGTGCAGGAAAGCTGCAGAACCTAGATATCAAAAACATTAACCAAAAATTACAAAATATCTTTTTTTTTTGGTTAGAAAGTTCTCCAGCTCCAGAGGGACAAAAATGTCATGCTCAGCTGTCCTTGGAAAATGCTGGAACCAGGGCTCCCCACCATAATGGATGACGCATTTCTGTCAAACCTATATGTGATTTAAGTCCAAACAACCTGGCATTTGAGGGTAATGGATGCTATAATTAAAATGTGAGCCTAAAGAACCTGTTGTTTTAGTGGGTGTTTTTTAGTAATGGCTTTGTTCTACATGAAGATAAAAACTCCCTAACAAAGGAATTAATGTATTGCTTTAATAGGCTGCACCCTGAGTTAAGTTTTAAAATTTATGAGTTCTCTGCAGCATTGTTCTTTAAACAATGGTATTGTCAAATGCAACCAGTGAGAAGATTAAAGTTCTCCCAGCAGATTAAGTACAAATTATCTGTCCTCCTGTTTCAGCATCATTTGTTCATTTATCACATAACGTCTAGTATTTCTGGTCAGTGTCAATATGCTCTGCATCCTTGCAGTTAACAGATGTCTTCTCTTGTCGAATGAATTACTTTATGTTTCACGCACTGGTGGCCGCAGATGTGTCACTATAGCAACATCATTAATTTCAGATCTTACCGGAAACATGCACTCCAATCAAACCTAATTATACCACATTGCTTTCTTGTCCCACAATAAGGAAACTATAATGCAATTATTGGGATACTTCATTTTCTATTCTGCTGTGGCAAATGAGAGAGCCACTGTGATGGACGCTTCTTGTCAAAAAGCTTATTGATGAAGCACAAACCCAATTTACAATCATACAAAGAACTACCTTGCAATTATGTTAGTAACGTAATGCTCCTTAGACTCCACAAATAATACTTAATCATTTCAAGAGAAACTAGAGCCATAGTCTAAGATTTTGCAAACCATTTTCTTTATTCTCTTTTCATTTCCAATACAGAGAAGTCTACTTTTGGTATGTGGTTAAGTGGGACAATCCCATTAACTTGGGTGGTCTAAACAGAATCCCAGGAATTTATTTTAAGTTAAACATCCGGACTTCAATAATGAAATTGCATACATTACTACACAAACGAAGTATCTTTTAAACTACTGGGAAATACTGACATCTGCGTATGGCTAACAGTGGTGGCAGGTAACTCTTCTGCTTTAGGAGGTGGACTGCTATCCTGCCCCATTCCTCCCCCCCCCCGGTGACATAACCAGCTCTCTCCCCAGTGTCTATTTCCAGTTCCTCTGCGCAGAGAAGAGGCTGAGTTCTATGCCCTTCTCTAACAGAGAAACAATTTGGTATTTGGAAGTATGAACCACCAGTTGTGTCCTTTCATGCGCTGTGCCCAATCTATTCAACTTACTGTAATGCAAAAGGTATCCCTCTGTTTTCTCTGGTCAAAGGAAACAGCGGGGTCTATATAAGATGATATTCCGTACAGGAAGATAAATGCTACACAAGGCAGTTTTCCTGCTCCACTAACAACGTACCCTCTAACTTCCAGCTCTGCTGGGCGGGGCTCTACCTCTGGTGTGCACGACTCTGCCCCCCCCACGCAGGGTTCCATCGCAACCAGAACATAATGCAATCGCTGTGCAAATGAGGAAGACAGCTGCACGCAAGGAGGCAGAGGTGTGCACACACACATATACCCAGCTTAGAGGGACCCTTGTCCAGAACTCTGTCCACGCCAAATTACAGCTGGAAGCCCAAAGTTTTCCCCCATTTCCTTACAATATAGAGAAGGGGAACCACACAAATTCTAAGACCTAGACCTACTGGGGTCTCAAATTGGCCCGGTGGGAGTTCTCCACGTGGCACCATGATCCATTCCTTATGCTACAATTGGTGCTTTCTTTATTTCTGCATGCACTTTCCTCTATTCTAAAAATATGACAGCTTGCTCCTGAGGCTAAGTTACTGGCAACAAGGATTTTATGCCAAAATATGCTGGTATTTTTAGTCTTGTTATTTGCCTTTGGTTTTGTACACTACTAAAATATGGTGCCCAAGAAGCTTTTTTAAACTGAACCCCACACTTGGCTTCCAGCCTACACTTCCCAGGTATTTTCTTTTCACTTTACTTTTATTCATACCAATTTAAACATAGAATAACTGTGACTAATGAATCTGGGAGATCTTTTCTTATTCTTAATCTCTCCTTGGCAAAATGTAAACAGTAATGATAACAAAGAAAGTGCTACAGAATTTAAAATCATCTAAATTTTTACGTTGAGGATAGCTGCATAAATTCTTTTCTAATGTGGAAGAAACCCCTATATCTGCAATTTCCCTTCCACACAGATAGAAGCAATAGTTACAATTTCATGCTTTACCATTTATTCCATGATAACTTTTGAGTAAATGGACAGTTACAAGTCATTGCCTTAAAGTTCAACAATAGCTACCAAGCTGGCAACATTTAGACTGAGACAAGCTATCAGCACATTTTACTGTTTAATATAAAATGCTAGGATATACCTGTTTTATCTGTCAAAAGATACACCAGACGTCCCAGTTCTTCAGGTATGGTGCTAGTCCTGACAACAGTTCCAGGTATATTGTCATCCTTCATAATCATCCATCCATATGCTGCTTTACCCATATCTAAGTTCACACGTAAACTGAAGGGGAAAAAAAGCCTTTTTGAGTTTAACAATTTGTTTTGAATGCAAGGGGAAAAAATTATCTGCCATGATTAAACCAATAGCTGAATTTATATAAATAAACAGTATACAGATTGTTATAGCAAGATGCATGACTATTCAAAATCATGTTAAAATTACTGTGTAGCAATAGTTATACTATAACTATCATATGAATTCTGATGTAGGTCAAATAAAATTATCTTTCTAATTGTCTCTAAAAACCGTAAGATTAGATAAAATAAATATTTTCTTTATCGTTAAATGTAATAATACAAAATGGTATTCATACCATTCCCCTGCTTCTTTCACTGGTATACCTTAATGTTATGGTTTAGTGAGGTTTTGTCATAGCACTGATGCAGAAACAGATACACATTTTGTTGTTTTAAAGATCACAATAGATACATTCAGTCTATGCACAGCAGACATATGATATGCATGAGTAAAAACATGTCACCCAAACTGTTCACCTGTTCTTATCTGACTGCACTTGGACCAGCATAAATTTCTTATTCGTATCATCCAACACTCCACTGCCTTATCCATTTAATTGTTCTGCTCTTATATGTTGTGGAACCTCTTCAAGCAAACTCTGCTTGTCGACCTAACAATCCTCAGGGGTCCAAAGATTTTCTACTTCCGAAACCAGTCCACCAGTCATCCCTGGCTGCCTCTAATGTTTGGCACTGTTCAGAACACTTGTAGGATTCCACCTTAATTCTTTCAACTCTTTCCTAAAAATCTGTTTGTATGACATTGTTGGGAACCCCTTAGCTCCCATAGCCTATGGTAAATAAGCTGAACTACACTGATTGGAACATATATATTCTTCCCTTCTGCTCTTGCTTTTATCTAAACACCTCTTTCTCTCGTCTTTTTTGCATCAAATTTAATACTGCAAGCAACTTAGGAAAGGGACTTTCTTTCTAATGCCTTGTGCACATTGATTTTACCATAGTAAATAAATAGCATAGGATGGCATGACAAATTTGAGTTACTAACAAATGTCATTTTAAGGTAATTTTCCCTATAAAGCAACACAGCTGTATTACAAATATATAATTCTGAGAATTTAAGATTACAACATCCAGCTATTATGACTAAACAGAGAAATCATCCAGGTGTTCTGAATGTGGGAAACATGACAATTTAATGATAATAAAAGCAATAAGTCAGAAACATGGGCATTTTCCATATACGAGATTGTATATGGAAAATATAGGTTCTCGTATTTCCCTAGCTATATGGGAAGAATTTTTTTCCAAGTTCTTTCAACTTTACTTAGATTTAGTAGCTCAAAGGCTATACAGTCAACCCTTGACTTGACAAACATTTCGACTTACAAACCGCTCTGATAGGAAAATAGGGACTCGACTTGCGAACTTGGATTTGCGTTACGAACTGAAAAAAAGTGCAGGAAAGGCAGGGAAAGTGGGAAATTTAAACTTTCAGTTAGCGAAGAGGCTACCTGTCTGCTTCCTTGCTCGTCCAAGCAGTTAGAGAGTGGGAAGAGAGACCCGGGACTGCCTGAGACTGCCTGGTATTGTCATTTTTAAATGTAAAATTTGGTTTAAAAGGTGCTTTGTTTGGGTTAAATGGTGATTGTTGAAAAGGTGCCTGTTTTGGTATAAAAGGCGCTTGATTTAAAAAGTGTTCTTTTTAAACTGTTCATTCAGTCCCTCCGTGGTTTCCTGCCTTTTTTTTAACCTATGTCATCTTAGGTTAAAAAAAATAAGAAAAAATTCTGCCTCTAGTGGTAGGAACAGATTAATCGGCTTTGCATTAGTTCCTATTGGGATTAATGCTTCGACTTACAAACCACCCCTCGACCTAAGAACCAAAAACAGCCGGGACGGATTAATTGGTTTTCAATGCATTCCTATGGGATATGCTGATTCGAGTTATGAACTTTTCGACTTACAAACTTCCTTCCGGAACAGATTAAGTTTGTAAGTCAAGGGTTGACTGTACACAATGTCAAGTTTTAGAGTTTAAAATACATTAAAATGAAAATTTCAATCTACAACACAGTTTTTGCAAAGGCTGCTCAAAAATAATTTTAGTTTTGAGGTATTTGAAAAGGTTATATATTTCTATAACCATTTTTTTTACTAATTGCTTTCTTGCTATTGCATATTTTGGACAGTAAAAGAAGTTATGGGAAGGTGTATCAAGTTCTAAAAAGAGGCAGTCACCCACAGCCTGGGGTGCCTTGAGAAATTATCCCCTTATCTGAGCCGTTGGATTAGCACTGCAGAGAATGATCATATATGATCACCTTAGCTTTGGAATAGTCAATATACTAAGATAAAGAGGCAGATCAAATTGTGTAGAATATTTAATTCCTAGGTGTAGGAAGCATTTCCACCTAGCATCCTCTTGAAGGGGCAGTCACCCACAGCCTGGGGTGCCTTGAGAAATTATCCCCTTATCTGAGCCGTTGGATTAGCACTGCAGAGAATGATCATATATGATCACCTTAGCTTTGGAATAGTCAATATACTAAGATAAAGAGGCAGATCAAATTGTGTAGAATATTTAATTCCTAGGTGTAGGAAGCATTTCCACCTAGCATCCTCTTGAAGGGTGTTCCAGTCTTGTCTTGTCGAGGCTACACAGTGGTCTAATCTTGAGATTACAAGTGCATGGACCAGAATGGTGAGGTCCCCACCATCAAGATAGGGATGCAGCTGGGCAATCCGCCACAGATGGTAACTGGCAAAGCGGACCACTGACTCCACCTGGGTTTCCATGGTGCGCGCTGGGTCCAGATGTACTCCCAAGCTGTGAATCTCACTCTTTGTGACGAGAGTCACCTCCCCAAAACAGGGTGTTTCCCAAGCCGCCAATGGAGGGGCCACCCACCCTCAGGACCTCCTCTTCACTTACCATCAACCTTCCCCACAACAAGTCTTAGTCCAAATGAGAATCACTGAAAGACATCCACTGTTTGTCCATCAAGCTCACTAAAGCAGTGGTCGGGGAACAGAGGTAAATTACCCCAAATGGGATAAAAGTGAAAATCCCGGGGGTAATGAGCACAGCACTACCCCCTCCCTCCCACCCCCTGCAGCCAAACCCCAAATTGTAAGCCACCTCTCCCTGTTACTTCCTCGGTTGCAGCAGGGCACTTGTAAATCCGCTGTTCTTTCAGAGATCGGAGATAAGCTTGCTTGATTGGCTACAGCTGTGGAATAGCCCTGGGCAATCAATCAATCCGGGGCTTTGAATGACTGCTTCCTCCGGAAATGACTGCAAACAAGCAGGAGGCGGGAAAGGATCAAGTTAACGAGGGGAAGGAAGGTGAGAGAGACTGAGGGCTTTATCAAGCTTATTTAAATGTATGGAGAAAATGGATGGATAGAGGGTGGGTGAGTGGACGGACGTGTGTGTGTGAAAGAGAGACTGATTCAAAACTATGAAAAAAGGAACAGGCAAGGCGTGAATTAAGGCAGGAAAAAAGGGTGGAGGGAGGGTGGTTGGATGTGTGTTTGTGTGTGAGAGAGACTGACTCAAAACTATGAAAAAAGGAACAGGCAAGGCTTGAATTAAGGCAGGAAAAAAGGGTGGCTTCATCAAATACTGCCATTTCCTTCCTTTCAAATCAAGGGGGTAATGTAGGCTTATATAAATTTTTTGGGGGGGTAAAAGGTAAAAAAGTTCCCTGACCCCTGCACTAAAGGAACTTCTTCTCTTCATGCTATGTCACTATACTAGAATATTCAGATGCTTTTCTTTTAAAATGCTATGAAATATTTTTTAGTTTTGCACAAACAAAGAATAACCCTTCATAGAGAGAAATGTTGGTATGTGAAACTGCTTTCCAACTATTCCCTGGTTCTGCAATGTCACAAATTTATTTAACAACTTGTGGAATCACAGAAGAGGGGTATTGTTAGCCTTTGGCTACTACTGACGTGTCTGCTCACATTATCAGCAGTGCAATACACTGTCCCCAATGTTTTTTTAAAATATGTTTTTGGTGCTATTGATCATTATTTTATCTTAGAAGTAAACAAATCAGAAAGGTTCTGTGTTTCAGCACTGGGCAACAGGAACCAAAGGCCAGCATCCGAATAATGTTTCTGTGAGGTTTGTCTAACTTGCTATGGCTAACTGCAACCAACTGACCAGATGCCAGAGCATAGCTCTCTGCCACCTTCTCAATAACCTGCAGCAAGTTACACAGAGCTTACATGAACACCAACAGGATCCTAGTCATTTCCTTGCAAAAACTGAAGTAACCTTTTGACCAGGTAACAAAGATATTTTCCTCTTGCATTGTGTATCTGCTCCTAATGATAGATGGGGCAATATGAAATAGCCAAAATTGGGTAAATTAGGCAGGCATATTCTACACTGGACTTGGAATTCCTTGTTCTAGTTTGGCTTGAAAGGAACCAAATTTAAGAGGAGCAGGCTGTATGCACCCTAATAATTTCCACTGAATTTCCACCACACGTGTCTCTATAAGACAACACTTTTCAGAGGATTGACAAGTGAAATGGACTAATTAACTATGTATGGAGAAAGACCACACTCTCGTCCACAAAATACTGCTTTTTGAACACTGGGAAAATGGGACTATTAAAACAGTGCAAACTTTGAGAAAGATGACAGGATTCTGTGCAACAAGTGGCAACGGTGCAATTACTGTGCTAAAAAAAAAAATACCACACATACACATTTGGAAAGCCCCTAAGATAATGTTATGTTAGTCACTACCTTGCCAGCTTTGCTGAACACTGATCTCCTGATGGGCTAATGGTATCCTTTCACCTAATGATGCACTTAGAATAGTTTTGTAGTGTCATGAACAATAACTTCCAGCTGCCTTTAGCCCAAATAAAATTCCTTGCAGGAACTGTGACAGAAATTTTGGACCCATAGTAGCAAGAGAACTACAGGGGAAGTTCAGGGAATTCACTCTGTTCTCTAACTTTGCTGGCCTTGTTTTCCCATATTTTTCTTTCTAC